TGTTGTTTGGCAGGCCCGGGCTGGATTCGAACCCGCCACCTTGGGGGTACGTGGCTGGTGCCTTAGCCACTTGAGCCACAGGCGCTGAGCTGCTTCTCCTATCTCTTTAGTGGAGCAAGTACAGATGCTTCTCCATCTATGATGGGGTTATATCCCAATATAGCCATGTTAAGGTAGAAATAGCCAAAAAAATATGTTTAATACATCTAACCTGCCAGACATCATAGCTTAGCCTACCTTGAACAGGCTCAGAACACTCACATAAGCCTACAGCTGGGCAAAATCATTTGACCAGATGACAGGTTAATTAGAGATGACTTTGATTATGGAAGTGCTGTGAATAGCCTGGCACCTTTTCTTGAGTATAAGCCACCATCTTTTGGGGGCAGAATCTCTGTTCTGCTCCCAGGCTTGCCCTCCTTCCTGCTAACAAGGCGTCATCCAGTCCTAAAGTCTGCACCCTCTTCCCACTACCCTGCCTAAAGGCAAAGGTCTCCTTTTTATTTTCATGTGAGCCTCCCTAGAGGCAGGTCACAAGAGCCCAGGGGACATGCAAGAAAGGTCTGAACTAGGTTTTCTTCAGCTTTGCTTCTAACCTGGAGTAGCAGAAAGGAAGTCCTGGGTACACTTAGTATCCTTCCCAGACTGGATTTGCAGCTGGAATCTTTGTTTTTTGGGTGGTGCTCACCTTGGACTCAGGCTGGTTCAAGCTCAGGTGGGCATGCAACAGAGTAGCCACCTCATCCTGCTTGGCCTCAAGGGCAATGGCCAGGGCACTGGTGCCCTCCTGAGGGACATAAGGGATGGTCAGGTCCCTGAGCCAAGTATGGGCACCCCTCACAAACAGACCAGCCCCATGGTGGTGGCTCACATTGTCCAGTATGGTGGGGTCACAACCTGGCTGGGCCAGGAGCAGCCGCACAGTATCCAGGCGTCCATACTCGCTGGCACACATCAGTGCTGTGGCCCCATCTGCATCCTGTGTGTTCACATCAGCCCCACATGCCAGCAGAGCTGCCACCATGTCCTGACGGCCATGGCTAATGGCCAGCATGAGGGCTGTCTGCCCCGTCTGGTGAGTAGGAAGAAGGGAATGAGGTTAGAGTAGATGGGGGGTTGGACACAAGTTGACTTCCAAAGTAGACATGACCTCTGGACTTAGAGCCAGAGTAGAGGTATCCACTTACCTGGCTGGCTTTGGCATTGACATCACCTATGCGGAACAGTCTCTGTACCACAGCCATGTCCTCCTCTTCCCGCCCCACGGAAGTAAGCGCAGCCAGCATGAGGGCTGAGTAGCCAGCTCTATTCTGGCGGTCAACCTCACAGACCCCTGGGAGAGAAGGTCCTCTATCCACCAAGAGGCCAACACCCCCAGCCCAACTCAGTCCTCTGACTTCCCTCCAAGCTTCAGATAATGTCATCTGGGTAACAATGATCACATCGCCACTCCCCCTGAAAAGTCACCTAGTTCCTGGCTAAATAGTTTTCCTCAAATCTCACTTCAAATGAAGCCTTCCTGGACCTCTCTATTTCAAGGTGACAGGACTTGGTTTTTTTCCCTGCTGTATCCCTCAGTACTTAAAATACCCAGCACACCATGGGTGCTCAGTAAACATTTGTCAATGAATGGATGTGTCCGTTTTCACAGCTTTGCTCCACTAGTCTCTGAATCCACTCAAGGTTCTCTGTGACAGCCAGGAGCAATGATTCAAAAGAAATTTGGCCCAGTCACCCACCTACTGAAATTCTCTCAGGTCTTACCCATTGCTCCTGGAATACAGGTAGCTATCTGCTACAGCCTGTAAGTTTATTAGCTTCTGGTCTTCTGGAATCGTTCTTTCCCCTACCGCCTGTGTTGTGGGTTGAATTGTGTCTCCCCAAAACAAAGTGATGTCCTATGTTGTATGATTGTAGCCTTATTTGAAAAGAAGTTTTGCAAATGTTATCAAGTTAAGTCATTAGGGTAGGCCCAACAAGTTAAGAAGAGGTCATTAGGATAGGCCCAAATCCAGTATGATTAGTGTTTTTATTTATTTAATTTTTTTTGAGGCAGAGTCTCATTCTGTTGCCCTGGTGTCATAGCTCAAAGGAACTTCAAACTCATAGGTTTGAGCAATCTTGCCTCAGCTTCCCAACTAGCTGGGACTAGGTGCCCACCACAATGCCTTTTTTGGTTTGTGGTGGGGTTTTTTTTTTTTTTCCTATTTTTAGTAGAGATGGGGTCTGGGTCTCAATCTTGCTCAGGGGAGTCTTGAACTCCTCAGCTCAAGCAATCCTCCCATCTTGGCCTCCCAGAGTGCTAGGATCACAGGTGTGAGCCACGAAACCCAGTCTGATGCCTTTATATGAGAGAGACAGAGACAAACACAAGGTCAACACCACGTGATAGAGGAGAGAATGGGAGTTAAGCAGCTATAAACCTAGAACACCAAGGATTGCCCACAACTACCAGAAGTGAGGAGAAAGGCATAGAATGCATTCTCCCTCAGCTCCCAGGAAAGAACCAACCCACCAACACCTTGAGTTCAGAATTCTGACCTCCTGAGCTAAAAGAAAGTTTTTTTGTTTGAAAAAGTATGTAGTACTTTGGATGACAGCCTGGGAAACAAATCCAGCCTGGTTAACGCTGTCCATCCTGAAGTAAGCAGAGACGTTAGCTCAGCTTCCTCTGGAGTGGCAGTTTTGATTCCTGTCTCCACTGCCATTATGAAAGCTCCAGAGGATGGGGTGCTTTGGGGAAGATGAAAGGGGGTGGAAGAAGCTGGGTCCTTGTTATGGAAGAGATAACATAGTGAGGGAAAGGATCTAAGATAGTGAGCTGGGGAGCAGAGGGCAGTGGTGTCAGAGATGGAGGGGCATTCCCTAGTTGTGTGAGTGTCCATCTATTCCTTCAACACCAGTAGAAGTTATCAGGTGGGGAAGGGGCACCTAGAAATAACCAGAGCAGGGTCTCTGCAGACCCCATCCATCTTCCCTCTCCCAGCTACCCTGAGGCCTTGCTTAGCTAGAGGATCACCCCATTTCTTCCATTTTTTTCTTAGAGTCGCACTAGAGTGCTGTGGCATCAGCCTAGCTCACAGCAACCTCAAACTCTTGGGTTCAAGTGATCCTCCTCCTGAGTAGCTGGGACTACAGGCACCAGCCACAATGCCCAGCTAA